AACGGTAGTCGAGATGTTGCTGGAATATTTTGAAGACTGCGGATGTGATTGTTAGGAGATCTATATAATATTTTTGTAATTGTATCTGATGTTAGGAACCAATAAAATTAGCTGAGAAATATAGGGGAAGAAAATTTGGCCTGTGCGACAATGTCACGGAAGGGGACGCGCGTGCCGGGGCGCACAAGCCGGATGTAATCCGATGCCGAAGGATCGGGTGAAATCCAGTCAATGGAAAAGTGCGTCGCTGGTCTTGAAAGCGACAGAGATGCCGTCGCTGCGAGTCGAAATCAAATCGAGGACTACGTCTTTGAGATGGATCCTGTGACGAATCCATGATGGATCCAATGTTTTCCAAAAGAGACGTTTACCATAGCTATAGTTTCGTTTTAATTAAACTACAATCGATTATATAAAAGATATAAATAATTTTCAGTGTTAACGAATATTTATACTACTTCATCCATTGGAATATTTCAAAAAATATTCTTACCATTTTAAGAATTCCTGCTAACAAGAAATATTTCACGCCTAGAATATTAAAAATTTCTATTTTAATTCATTACATTGGATCCTCTGTCCACGAACCACCTACGCAACGCTTCGGAAATCAAAACCAAAAGCACTGAAACAATCGAGATGAGGATTCCTAACGAAATCGGTATGCAATCAATATACACCGAGTGACGGCGAATCGAATAATTTTCTTCTGGAAGCCCTCGCAAGGGGGCAAGGGAATGTATTGCCAGCGAGCCGGGGCCATCTGCTCCCTTCGCAACGATTCCCTTCCGCGTTCCGATCGAAATATGTGCGGCACGTTCCTGTAAGGTAAACTCGAAAGGTACGGGGTGTGGGTGGGTGGTCGACGGAGGTTCGGCGGAGGGACCGGCGCGGCGGTATTTGTCAAGACTCGGGAGACGTGCCCGTTGGCATCCGACGGAGATATTATTCAAGATAGGAGATGGAGCCAGCCAAGACGAAAATGGTCGCTTGGACAGTTGGACAGTTCGTGGTTCGTGTGGGTGTAGACGAGTGTCGTCGCGCCCTCCTCCAGTCCCGCAAGGGTCGACGAGCGGAAACGAAGGAGAATCGGCACTGGTCCACGAAACCTCCGCTGTCTTCTCCCTTCTGCCACAACGAGTTCCGACGTTGTGTCGCGTCGGAGGAGACCGCTCTATCGAGTTACAGCTTTGTTTTTGGGTCGATCGGCTCCGTCGCGCGCCGACCAGGACTTTCTTTGACCCCCTTCGACGTCGTTTCCGGGGTCAACGATAACCATGATATTCCCCCGACCCACGGAAAATTGATTTCCCAAACATCTCGCGGACCACGGGCCGATCGAGGGATACACCGAACTTTCGTAGGTACTCCTAATAATACTTTGTACCGGGGATATATCGATTTCCGGAGATTCACTTTGCGATAGAGATCGGGGCAGTGGCTTTTCCGGCGGAAAATCGTTCGAACAGTGATAGACGGTGTTGGTTATATGTTTACTGACGTTCCGTGAATTGGGAAACTGCTTTTTTTCAATGATTCTTTCAGTCGGTGAATGAAGGATAGAGTTAAAATATTGAGAGAGGCGTTTTTATATTGCAACTTCTTTCAATTGTAACTGAATAACTGTTCTTATAGATCGTGTCCTCGTACCTACGTTGAACTTAGTATTTAATCTAGAATCCGTTTTTCATGGTTGAGGTACTGGAGATTTGGAATTTCGTTCCGATGCGCATCGAGTCATCGATTTATTTTCGCCGATCGTTCCATCGAATTCTAAAAAATTCAAATGTCTTGTTAGCATCGTGTTTACCGTCGTACAGATGCGCTGGACTGAATCATTCAGTTTCCCCGTTCCCTTTCAGACGTCAGAAATTCAGATGCCGCGAAAGGGGCGACCTTTTCACCGGGCTAAGGGATTCGATTAGGCGCGTTCATTGTATAAGGGTTACAAGAACGGAACCTCTCTCGGTTTCGGGAGCGAAGGGGGGTCGGAACTCGCTGGTAACCAATAACGAGGGAGAAAGCTTTCTTTATCTGGGTTGCAAAATCAAATTGTCGTCTCTTCGCCCGGCCGCCCCTGCACCCCGAAGATTCCGGCGCCCTTTCACCCGAGGCCCGAGCTCGTGAAAACATTCCGTTCGAACGCCCGACCGCCTCGTCCGCCATTTCGTTGCCACGTAGAAGTTAACGGCTCGTTGCTCAATCGAATTGGATATTCGTCGACAAATATACCGCGAGCGACGAGACATTTTTATTATTTTTATTCCTTGCGCGAACGTTCCGATGAAATAGGCATCAAAATCGTCCTGGTTTTCGTGGATAAATATCCTATGTGTAAGAGAAAACCCTGGATTACATTGGAATTAATTATTGAGAAAAGGAATTTCCAATTTGTGCAGGAGAAATTCAAGCGAATAGAAATTTCCATTGAATCATTCATATCCCACGTTTGTCGAAATGAATTGTACGACTTCACCCAATTACCGACAGGGGGAAGTGATTTTTATCTGGCATTTGCTGAATCCCGATGTTTGCGGGCTTTTCAGACATTTTCTGCTTTCATTGCGTCTCTATATTTGCAAAGATTTTAATAATAAATGTGAATTCTCAATGTAGATTTAATTATTGATTGTCAGGAACGAACACAAAAACTTTGTAGAACTTTGTACTTTCGTTGCTACTAAACAAATCCAGCCCATTTTATCCATATTCATTAATAAATCTAAAGACATATTCACCGAGGAACAACAAACAAATTTACATTGCCACTGATCTCAAAAATCTACTTCCTACCTAAAATTTTCCACAATTTCGTACTTTGATATGACCAGCAATCACATTACGCGCCTCGCCAGGACCCAACAAGATGGCGGCCGCGCGGAGCGAACCCAATGGAGCATCGCACACTGGGGTATTCGCTCAATCTGAACGGCCAAAAGTCCATTTTAAACATTTTTTTTCTTATAACTTTATATCACTTTGAACTTCAGCAATTTTTCAACAGAAATACTGTCTTTCTTTAATTTTGCTCGCTAGTATAGAAAATTTGCAGAAAATCAATAAATTAAACGATTGTATATTATTTAGGATGTATTATTATGTATTATTGTATATTACATCATATAATACATGATATATAAATATACATTTTGTTTACGTAATTATATGAAATTATATACAATTTACTGTTATACGCCATGTAATTGCATATTATTGTATATTATTATATTACATTCTCATATTTTCTAGTAAAAAGTCGATGTAAACCTGTCTTTTACTTTGGCCGCTTAGATCGGGCAAATACCCCACTGTGCATCGCCGTCCTGCAATTGGAAAGTCCGTCGGCAGTCGATCCGCTCGGTCGATCTGTCACGAAGTTTTCCCTCCGATTAAACTCCACTCGTTTTTCCCGCCGTTCGAAACACCTTCCGTCGTTCGTCGAACGATACGCGTCTCCCGCTGGCAAGCCTTATCGGCGTAGTTAGCGTAGACAGAGGGCGAACGCGGGCCACGCTGACTGGAATAGAGAGGAAGGGTCGAGAGGCAACTTAAACAGCGGGTAACAAGAAGTAGCAAGTAATAATTGAGTCAGGCAAGTATGCCGCAGACCATACCGGTGAGCCGGCGGAACAGCGATGTGGATGTACCTGACCGGAATTCGAAAACAGATAGGGGTGGGCAATTCCGGGCGACTTCGACGATGGAAGATGGCTTCGCCGGGCTAGTTCGTCGATCGCGCAGAATTTCGGTGTTTCCTTCGAATATTCACGTGGCCCCCCTCGCCGATTCGGAACCAATCCAGTTCGTATTACAATACGGAGTTACTTTGCCACGGTAACTTGTTAACACTTTGATTGCTGGACAGTTTCCCGGGGATTGGTTGTGCCTTTTAATTAAATTCAGAATTGTAGGAGTTAATGGATGCAACTGTGATTCATGTTGCGTCTTTTCAATGGGTAAAAAAGGTTTTCGTTTAGAATGAAAACGTCGATTAGTTTTGAAGATTCGTATTTTCGAAAAGGTGTGGGACTTTTTAAAATATTCATTTTCAGGTGAGAACGAATTTGCACGTTGCTGCAATGGGGTATGTGTCGGGTGGAAGTTCGAGATAAATAAAGATGTTGCAGGTAAAAGTTTGTCCGCACATATTACGTCATTATCTATCGGGAATGTTGGCGGCGAGACCATTACTGTCAAAGGCAGAAGGTTACCAAAACCTTTGAAATAAAAATGCGCTGTACTACGTGCACCGTTTCCGAAACCAGAATGTCTGGGATCGTGTGCAGGAAACGCGGAAAGAAATTTCGACTTTCATCTTATATCAATTTCCCAAACACGAACCTTGGCGGATCAAAGGTTTATAGATCTTTCGGAATAAAGGATATGGTGCTGAGTCCATCGTTGTCGAGTTTAAAATTTGCCACACCGTGAATGGAGAACGGGAAACCGTACTTCCTGTCATATTGCAGCAATTCCTCAGTTTCAGGCGTTAAACTTGCATCTTAATTGAGTCAGTAGAGTTTTAGAAATGGAAAACTACGATTTACTGAGTACACAATTTTCAAATTTATAATATTTTGTATCACTGGCGAACACAAAATCACGACTAGATGGTTAGAAATAATCTACTTCGCGTCGAAAAGCGCTATTTTACACTTAATAATTATAAATTATCACCAAAAATTACAAATTTGTTAATATAATATCATAAACTAAAAGATACAACTGTTAAATAATATAAAACATTCAACACGATCCCAATAGTATCCCCAACAAATTTCACTTCGAAAGGAAGATCCTTAAAGCCCACGAAATTCAAGAAATCATCGTCCATGAATTTCCCAAATTGGAGATTCCCGAGGTCAGAGGTCAATAGGGCTTTTGAAATGAGTGACACGGTACTGCACGGATCGTTTCCGAAGTTGCCCGTTTGGCGGCGATATTCGCGAACCGATTTGGGACCGTACCAAACGATTCACCGTCAGCGATCGACGCGAATCAGGCTGCGAGACGTCCACGTGGAAACTCGTTCGGTTTCGGAGGGCGACGCACGGTTCACGTTCGAGAAATGTCCCAAAATAACCTTCTGCAAGGATACAACTGTGAGTAATGGACATCAACAAATAAGAAAATAAAACGATTCCTCCGCGTCGATTTTATTTTTCTCGTTTTTTTCTTCATTTTTCTGTTTACCCTGTTACCCCTGTATCTCGCGAATTTGATAGCGTCGCGCGAGACCGGTTTACGGGTTCCAACGCGATCCGTCACTACCTCCGTTCTGTGAAAAATGAGCTGTGATAATGGCGGCTTTCGTTTATTTGCGAACAGCAGCCGGAAAAAAGGCGAGGGCTGCGGATTTTCTGCCGATCGCGTGCCGAAACTCTCGTCGGTTTGACAGTCTTTTCCTCGCCACCTTTACGATCGTTCTCGTTGGCTTACTGATGAAGCTTGGATTCGATGGCAATGGCTACCGATTCGATCCTGTGTTTCACGCGAAATTTGGATTTAACGAGACGCGCTGTGTACGTTGATAGAGAATGGCTTTTCACTTCGACTGAAATAATTTGTTACCATTTCCCGCATTTCTTGTTGTGACGTGTGCAAGAGTTTGTTAATTTAAGTTATTGAGGATTGTTGGCGAAATACGAGGAATTATTTTTGCAACCAGTCCTGTAATGAATTCGGTGTTGTGGATTTTTATGTGATACGAATTGTGAGTTTATGTAATTGTTGAGGGGATTAGTGATTTGAATACATATTTCGTGGCGGTAGCATTGATTCATGATGTAATTTTCGTGTGCATACGCGTTTGCGGGTAAAATTCGAGTAAACATTTATATTTCTCGATGGAAGTATTAATGTTTAATTTACTTTTAATTAGTCGCTTGATAGAAATGAATTTGTTAATAAACTCCAATAGCTTCTCATCGCGAAAGAAATTACACTTTTAACGTTGCCGGTGGAACGAATTCCTCTTTAAAATTATTTAATATTTCCGTTTCGTTTCATGGATATATTTCGCGTTTCCCGTATTCAGCATTTAGGAAAGAGTAAACGAACGAGTTACAGAAATAACCATTCGTCTGGGTGCAACATTGTCTAAGGATCGTCCGTGCTCGATAATCGCGATACATTGTATGAGGAGACATCTGTCCCAACATCGACAGTTCCATTTAAAATCAGTGTCTCTCAATCAGAGGATTTATACATTTTTTCATTAATTTCTTAAAACCTCAAAAACGATCGTCAATTTTTTCTTATTTGTCAAGATATTAATAAATTATAATTTTTTATTTTGGAACGATTCTTCCTTGGATTATTGAACACATCTGTTTTCTGGAAGAAGAAACGAATCAACTGATACACAGTTTTGGCTTGAAATTCATTTTCGGTCGCAACTTTGAATATTTTGATGTTTTTTTTACAGTTACGTGAAAATGGAACGACCATTAAAGAATCAGAAAGGATTTTATCGGAGTTTAAAATGGAAACAGAAATTGTAACACGAAATTCGGGCGTTTAATCAATATCGAATAAGTAACGTGGTTTATTCATTCGTTCCCATTACGGATTCTTTTAGTTGAGCGCGATCAGATTGCGCAAAGTGCATAAAAGATTTGCTGAAGTAACTGCAGCTCCAGTAGGGAATGGATTATTAAATAAAAAAGGAGCCGAAAGACTGTCATGGCAGGTTTTAAAACACTAGAACGTCGTGCTCCCTTTTTCTCAATGGGAATCTTGAAAGCACCCTATTAGGAACATTGATGATCCTCCTTTTCAAATCTTCTTCTTCAAGATGAAAATGCTATTTTTAATTCATCAGTCGAAGCTTCACTGTCAAATTTTGAATGCATTGATATTATCTCAAAAGCACTCTAGATTAATAAATTGAATAGTTGCTGATTTATCTTAAATTTGTTTACCGGAAGAAAGAAACAAGTAAATGAAAGAAAAAACACGAAAGTATGAATCCTACTTTATGAATACAAGGAGTATATTAATCTATCCAAATTGTTACCGTTATCGTCATTAGTATAATTCAATAGATTCCATTCACTGTGCAAAGTGTTCGAATGAAACTAATTTTTTAAGGAGACTGTTATAGACAAACGATACTTTTCTGAAAACTTTAATCAGTTTTGCTATAAAATATCGAAGAAGATTAAGAAGGAAATAAGATCCATCAAAGAACAGGATGTTCATAATAAAAGAAATTGCAATGTTCGTAGAATTTCTTCGTTGTTCTCCGAAATATTCTCATTAGAAAAGTTTATCCGCGTGGCAGGCAGTGGCGTAGCTTTTTTCTTAAATTATCCCGTTCAAGAATATTCAAAATGATTACTTCTACGAAAAGACAAGCAATTTTCATGAAGCGCCGTTGCACTTTGCAGGGGAGACCCAGTATGAAGATTCGCAGGAGCAATTCCCTCGTCCTATTCCGGACGAGGTTATCAGGTGAGCTTAAAACATTAACATGCATTCCTGTTAGGGCCGGGCTAGGTCAGGGTTAGACCTAAGTGATTACGGTGTAATCAGGTTTATTCTTGGATTTAATCCTAGATTTCTTTCTGGCGCGGTAAATAAGCTCTGATGTTTATAGATAAACGGAGCAGAGGTTCTTTTGCTTGGGAATTTTAATTTTGCATTCGCTTTTGAATGTTTTTGTTTCGTATGTAAATTGGACAATTTATTTCTTTACTGTTCTTTTTTGTGGTAACTTTTAGACTACCGATTTTAGAATTTTCGAATATTTCGATGTTTGGCAAAATTTTAGAAACATAGTTTGAAATTGCAATTTGATTAATGAGAGATGTTTGTTAATTATTGAATTACTAGTGTTTATGAAGTTTATGTGAAAGAAGAGAATACAGGTTCTGATGGAAGGAACGATGTCACTGTTGTACCTGGTTTGTCTTCTGCCAATGAACATCAGTTGATTCAAGTAATTATCAGTTCGATTCATTAACCAAACTTTCAATGCATCACTGGTTTAAATAATTTTCCCTGTGATTAGAATGATTGCATGAACCTAGACGTTGCCATTGATTCTGAAGTGATCAACATCGACGACAGTGTAACGAAATTTCTAGGGAAAGATGCATTTAAGTACAAGGTATCCGACGAGATTCATTCACGAAAATTTCCCGGAATATTCACGGAAGACTTTCTTTAGATACTGGACCAAAATATCAATGTGCCGGAAGACAATGTTATGGTGTACTCACATCCAGTGGTCGAAGGTCCATCGTCATCGTCTACTCACATGATCGACAAAGATGATCCAAGATCGAAGCTCCATTTCGTAAAATATCTGAAACGCGATGGGAAGACTTTGAAAATTTGGGAGTGCGGGATCTGTGAGTAACATTAACTTTACGTAAACATTTAAATATTCCAACACTTACATGACTTATAATTGGACAAACTTTGAAAAGAGAAAGAAACAATGTTTACTTACAGAGGATCCCTCTTTCTTCGTTTTCGTTTAGTTTTCGTTTAACCAGCAAACAGTTGAGAACTCTCCTTTTTATTTCTCATAAAAGAAACGTTAAAACTTTTGCAACGACCCAGCAGTTACAGGCATTTACTATTTTTTAATGCGTTAAACGTCGAACGACGGAGCAGCATTCTATCCCCGATACGATCAGCAGTCGGTGGTTAAACACGCCGAAAAGTAACTCGGGGCTTAATATTCGAACTAGGTTCGAAGGAGTTCCGGCATCAGTACACGTTGATGAGGCATTTGCCGACCCACACCGACGAGAGGAACTTTAAATGCGAAGCTTGCGGGAAAGCGTTCCGGCAGCTATCGACACTGAGCCAGCACAAGGCGATACACAGCGACGCTCGGCCGTACGTTTGCGAATTTTGCAAGAAAACTTTCAACAGGTCAGCAAGTGAATCGATACGCAATTTCTTCATGACACTCCTCTCTGCATCCGAATCGGTTTCGCGTAACTTCGCGACCGTATGGAACCGTCAATACCCTGTTTCCCGTTTCCTCTGCCAATCACCTCCACCCCCTCGCCACGATTTCGGTGCTCGTTTAACCTCGTGCGCTGGAAAGACGTATTTACCATGCGCGTCGAGATGTTTTTGTTCCACAATTGCCAATCACGTCTTACGCGCATCGGTAGTTTTGTTGTGTTACGCACACCAGATTATTTTGAACCTTATCGCTCTTTATAAAGTGATGTAGGATCGCGACAATGTAGCGTTTAACAAAACGTTTATTAATAAGATAACAACGACGAAAAGATAAAAAGATAAAACTCTGCAAGTTTTAACATGTATGGGAGCTTTAAAACTCTTGCAGTCAGGTAAATACTCCGCGTCTGAGAAGTGTTGGCTATCGTTCGAGGAGAGAAGTTACACTCACGATGTTGCCACAGTTTTTGACGCGAAGTCGTCTTTAGAGAATTTTGCTTTCTGTAGTTCCATCTTACTCCATTACATTCGGCCTCGCTGCCGTCCTGTGCCATTGCCGCGCACCAATGAGGACTATGCGTCAAAAACCGAGGCAGCCGAAGCATCGTGAGTGGAAGAGTCCCCTCGCCTCGCTAACTTCTCGCTGAGAATAGTCGCCATCGCTTCTCAGCCGGAGTATTTATACGCTTCACTAATACTTTCATTTTCATGGTACAGTTGCTCGGTTCCAAACATTCTTTGACAACTCTCCAGTCACTCGAGATCATTCTGCTTGCAGCCGTACTTTCGTAGATCAGAGTTTTCCCCTTGTAATTGTTTTCAAGTAATTTGGACGCGGCGGTCAACGTGTTACTGAACAAAATTAGTCTACATGCTTGTGTAAAATAGGTAAAAACAGAATTATTCGTGCAAGATTTTGCCAAATCTGTGAATGAATTTCTAACGCAAGAGATTAAAGCCGCGTTTCCCGTGTCTCGTTTCAAGCGTTCCAAAAATGCGTATAAAAATTCGGAACTGCAATCCGCCCGACAACGAAGGAAACTAATTATACACGCGTGCACGTGGAGCACGTCGGGTCATTAGCGTTTTGAATCGCGGCGAAATCGCGGACGGACGCGAGCCAGCGATCCTGGAATGGCGGAAGAAATTTTTTAACGAGCCCCACGTCCCTGTCCTTTTGTGAATTAGCGTTAACAAAGCGGTGGTTTTAAATGACCACGTTTAAACGTGGCTGATTCGGCTGAGAGGGCTGAAAAGTCCATTTTATTAAGAGTATTTTTTGAAATCATGATATTGGAATGTTCGTTAACCGAGGAGTTTTGGGGGACATTTGTTACTGATATGTTAATTGCTTTTTAATGGCGAATGTTTAGGTTCGTGTTTTCGATTTTATAGGGTGTCCACGCTGATTTCCCATCGGAAAACGCACTCCGAACATAAGCCGCACAAGTGCCAAGTTTGTGGGAAAGGATTTCATCAAAAAGGTAATTATCCTTTCACGAGAAGGATTATTTTTCATTAATTAAATGATTTGTATCGTCGCGAGAAAAAGTAAAATTTTTTTTTGTATAATTCATCCGATTGCCCACAATTTCAAAAACAATTGTAAAACTCGTCGAACTCACTCGCAATTAATTTCTCAAATTCAATAAAATATAATTTGTATACAAGAAAAATTTCACTAGAAAAATCAGTAGATAATATTGTATTCGTTCATTCTTAAATTCTTGAAGAAATATTTGAGCAGTGTTTAATTTTCCCACGGGACAAAAAGCCGAAATTGTCTGTAATCGGTCTCAGCGTGCGGGCATCAGTCAATATAATGCGGGGGATGATTACAAGCTTTAATGGTTGAACACCGTTTCGTTGCCAGGCAATTTGAGGAACCACGTGTTTACTCATACGAACGAGCGGCCGTACAAATGCGAGCTTTGCGGCAAAGGCTTCAATCAAATGTCGAATTTGGTGTGCCACAAGGTCAAAGCGCATGCACACGCGGAGAAAATGCAGTACGTGTGCGGAATCTGCGGCAAAGAGTTTCCGCGTCGATTCTCTTTGAGATCGCACGAGGAGTACAAGCACGGCATAAAGTATCGACATCCGGCCGCCTCTCAGCCCGAAATGAACGATCCAAACGTCATAAGAAAGTAGGTAGACGTCGCGGCGCGGACGTCGCTTAATTTGCTCCCTGACGGACAGCCTTTTCTCACGGATAAATGAACGCATCCTGAATGTTGATCTTTCTAGCTTTCCCCTGCTTTTATACTCTTTCCTTGTTTTCTTTTCACTTTCGACGTCTTTCTTTTCATCGATCCGAGCAAATCGACCCGTTTCGATCTCTAAAATTCTGGTTAAAGCTGTTGCCGATGGTAATAGAGTTTTGCTATTAAATGGATAGCCATTTTGTGAATATAGATTCTATTTTACACACGTGAGAATTGAACTTGAATTTGAATCTTCTGTAGGAGACTAGAAATGAAAAAATTATGGAATTATACATTTGGAATATTTATTTTCAGTAAAAATGTTAGGATCGTTCAACTGCCGAACGGCGATCGTAATCAGACCATTGAAATTAGGGACAAGGACCCATTGCTTGCGGTTAGTAGCCCATCTAAGGTATCGATGATCAAATCAACTTTTATTAAAATTATGTTTAATAGGAATATGTTTAAAATAATTGTTAGCAATAGCGTAGCAACAATTTTTAATTAGCGGAATGTAACAAAAATCCAGTGAATCATGTTGCAATGATACAGTGATCATGTGATAAATGATAATACAAATTGATGTAATAATAAGATATATTGAATGAATATTGTTAAAGAAAATCTGTAACAAAGTAACTGTTATCTTCTTTTATTTTGTTAAAGAACTATTAGTGAACTGTTCAAATTAATCACTAGATGAACGCATGATCATTAAGCCTAATTACAATATATTTCATTGCGTAATGTTACAATATAGAAATAAATGTAATAATAAATACTATTTCTTGAAAGTCGGATGTCATGGAGTCCGTCGTGATCGACAAGATCGACACGAAAGCGATGGAGATGGCGTTACTCGAGAACCAAACGCCATTTGCCCTCTTCAAGCCTGCCAAGGGAATTCCTGTCCTTGTGAAAGTCTCACCAACTGGAACCCACAAAAATGTAATACATTTTCTTCTTTTCTTCTCGCCGTCGATTATCTATCAAATTCATTTTTCTACGTGTAACATATTAAGCATTATTTTCAATAATCTTCCCCATAATAATTATATGATTGATTTCTTGATAGACTCAGTTGCTGCTTCCATAGAGAACATATTGTTTATTATTATTCATTATAATTTCCAATTTTTAAAATTATTTCCGTACATAACGTTCGCACATGACATTTCCAATTATTTTCTAACTGCAAAAATTCTAAAACATCTTTTTAGATCTTGACTCCAGCGACAGCAGAAGATCTACGAATAACAGGAAAGATGACTCTGAGCCCAACGATCACTTCCGACGTCGACAGGATCAAAGCTGTCCAGATAAAGGTGCCCGTAGTGGCCACTGTCATTCAGAACGTCGATCCCGATGGAAAAATCAATTTCATCGTTGAACCACCTGGTCCGGAAGACGAACACGGTGAGGATTACTTTCGTATGAATAATCGCAAACACAAGCGGCGCTCGGGAATAAGTGATGGCAGAACGTGAAATTCCAAAAAATAGATACTGCACGAAATAATTGAAATAAACCTTGAATCTTGATGCGAACGATTCAATGAAAGTCTCGCGGTTCTAAGTGTTAATGGTTTCATCGGACGCGAAACGTTTCGAGGTGCAATATTTTGAAAAATCTCGCGGCAACGTGGCGTTTATTTGGTGCATTGTCGACAGAGAGCCTAGTCACGGCATTGGATTCCCAGTTCACGTACGGTGAGGCCCCAAGAAACGAGCCGAATCGCCAGAATGGAACCGTTGTATCCTCGACGATGGAGGATTGCAACGAGCTGCTGGAACTAGCCGCCCAGGGCGGGATACAATTCGTGCGAGCCACCGAGGATGGTCGTTACGAGGTGATGAACAGATCGATCATGATTTTCCTGCTTATTTCTGCGCCATCGTTGCCACTTATCCGTTGCTTCTTGAACGGAGGAGTGATTTTTGTTTCCTCTAACTGCTGGCTATTTTTACGTTACACGAGTACGGAGAAAATATCAAAGGGAAAAGCTTGGTCTTAATGATTCGATTATTCCGCTAGTTTAGAACATTAGAGCATTCTCTTCTATTTTAAGGAACTATTTTAGAAATGTCAGAATTGATTGATTTATTTAATCGATTAAGATTCGTTAGATGTTGCGTTATTTCACTTTTGTGCCTTTACTACTATTGCTTTGAGTTTTCATGGTTTAGATTGCTTTCATTTTATTGTTCGTTTGCTGCTAGTTCGTTTACATTAATTCACGAACGCAGGTGATGACGAACAGCGAGGCTCGGGACTTGATGGCGCAGAATGCACATGACGTGACGATCCTCGACGGCGACGAAGCGGACGCGATTAATCTGGTGAACACACGCGGCAACGGGGAAGTCATCATCGGGGATTCGGATAATCAGATCATGGTACTTCACTCGACTTCGACGCAGAAACCCATGCCGATGGACGGCATCGAGATTCTCGAGGACAAAGACATTAGGATCCTCGATATCAAGAGCCTCGACGACCGTTTCGTGGACGGCATCAGTTTCCTCTCTCAGCCGAAAATCGATGATTTGATTCTAGGCCCGAAATCATTGTCCATCGACGCTGGACTGAACGTCAGCGAACACGACGACGAAGGTTAAAGTTCAATTGATTATGTCATATTCGTGTTATTCATGTTTCTTTTGAATCTTTCAGGAAATTATATATTTTTGTGCGGAAGGCGTCTGATAAGCGTGATTAGACAAATGGAATCGAATATTAAGTAAAGAAATATTTCATGAGTTTTATATTTGACGATGTTATAAATGATAATATTGATAGTATTCTATATTAAGTGAATTTTCTGTTTTATAATTAGCTGAATTTATGGCGAAGGTTTCGAGTTTAATTAAATAAGTGTTGTCATTTGTATCTGTTATTAATGTTTAATATTAATTTGATGTATAAATAATTCGATCCATTTCGAGATCACTGTGTAAGCGTTGCTATATTCACACTATGATTTAAAGGGTTATTTTAAATACGAATTGGCTGACTTTTATGATAGGTATAGGAGTACCGTCGAGTCAGCAAGAGTTAACAAACATTCTCAGCCATCGAAGCGACATTTCCACTTTGTCAACCACCTCCCAACCTTCGATATCCTCCTTGTTATTGAAAAACCATCCCCCATTGTCAATCCTAAGTGAAACGCTTCCGTATTTGAAGAGCAACAATAGTTTAACTGAGGATCTGAACATTCTCGGTAGTTCAACGATGGAGGAACATCATTCGGTCTACGATAGCAAGATGAAATTGTCATCCGTTTTCGACGACACCGAAACCGACGGGAGTCTGATACCAATTAGTCAATCGGACATGAAGATTCTCGGACCGACGCATCATAATGCAAAGGTAATGACATTTTATTCAAAATACTTGAATGTATTTCATTAAATGCTATACGAAATACTTTTTATCTCGATTCTGCTTTTCAATCTATCGTTTTAAAGCCACAACTATCAGTGTCTACATCAATATTACAAAATTGTCAAATTCATTGTTGATTGTTAGATCTTACGTATAAAAGTGATGATTAATTGTTATTGAGGATATTAATATTTAGAGAGTTGATGGAACTAATTTTTTGAAATTATGCAGTAGTACTTTCCATTCTTGTTCTTTCCATAAACTTCATTTGTTTGTTAAATACGTTTGGCGAATAATATACATTTCTACATAAATGCATTGCACAGCAGAATCGATGAAATATTTTAAACAATTTTCTAAGAGCAATGAGAAATTGTTATTTTAAACGTACGATGAAATTTCACACGAAGGTTCTCGGTAATATAACGAACAGTCTGCCGTCGTCGAAACTGTTCCCCGGCGTGGGCGAGGTGAAAATCTTGGGCCCAAAGCACCATACTCAGGACATGATGGCGTCGCAGTATTCAAACGTGAAATTACTTACCCCGTATGAACAGTTTTTGAAAAACACCGCTGCGAACACGAACGGCTGCGACACAAACGTCATGAACACTTCCAGCGGGTGCAGGAAGGAAGTGAAAATTCTAGGGAAGAAATTGGGAACTGGCATCATCACTAGCACGGAAGGTGGCAACGTTGTTGAAGTTGTCGAGGAGAGAACTAAACTGGTAACAGATTCTACTGTTCAATAAAATATGGTCAATAAAATGTGAACAACATTTTCAATAATTGGTACTGAATAATTCTCTAGTAATCTATAGAATCTATATTTCTGTAATCGTAGATACTTAATTATTTTGCAGTTATATATATAATATTAACTATTACAAAACGAATTTCTATAATTATTCCCAAAAGATGATGGATAGCGAGGGACTGGGGCTTTGCAACAGTGCAGAGAGCACAGTAATCTCGTCACCCCGTTTGGACAGGGAACTCACCGGAAGTAGCGGGCCCGACAGCTTCTTGATTCAAGTAAAACGCTTTCAAACGCACGAAACGAGGATGTTCATGCAACTGAATTTTTCTAGTTACTAATTACCACCGCCTGTATGTCAAAGATCGTTGTTCAAATATCATTTCCCCTCTAACGAAGATACTTTCTAAAAAAACTCACACACTCTCTAAATACATTCCCAAAGAAATAACCAATGAAAAATGCATAAACATCCACTCTCTAATTAACGATATCCCGGAGATTCCTGGAACAAAGAGAACCTATTTACCAATCAATGCAGGCCTGCAGTCCGTGCGGCTCGGACTTTCTGAATTTCGAGAACCGACTGAAAGACGCTGTCTCACCCGGCAGCCATTTCGAGCGAGCCCAAAAGGATTCCAGAGACAGCTTCAGCTCCAACGGCGGTCTCCCCGATCTCGATTGATGAAGAATCCAATTCCACCCCCCGCCCAATTCCTCTTTTTAGTCTTGCTTCACCTCCGCGAAAGAGTTCCCCGAACGACGTCGAAACTTCGCTGGCGACCGTGGAAATCTTTCCGTGGCTGTGAAGGATTCAATTAGAGCACTTCGGTCGCGCGACTCGCACGTACGAGGAACGGGTCGATCCTGGTTTAAATTCCAACCGAAAGGCACCCTCCCGCCACGTCCCGCGACCCGGCGAATTAGCAAAATTTTGTTTTTACCTTAGAATACGCGCGGAACTCCCGCGTTCGACGATCATTAGAGCCTCCATCGGGGTAACGCTCATCCTCTAGAATGAATTTTTCGCGGTCCTTCCATCGTCAAAGAGAATACTTAGCCGCGGCGCAATGGAAATCGATGGTCCCGATGAAAAGTATTAACCCGTTAGGCCGTCCGAGAGGGTATCGCTCGTGTCAGGGTATTAATTCAAGGATTAAACGGTTTAAAGAAAATTTCGGTCGTCGAAGTGTGTCCTGTTCGACGATCGATGCGGCTTCCGTACCACGAAACGAATTCATTTCTGCACACCGAAAAGATAATAATCGGAGGGGCACGGCGCAATACTTTCTACGACACTCGAATATTTACATTCCGCGAAGGCAAAGCAATTTCGTGGCCTCGGAGCGGAATTTTATTGGAAATTGGATCGACGGGATGAAGTTAGATCGAATT